CGTTCCCGTTGACAAACAAGACTTTCTTTCGTTCGGTGATATAAAATTTTATTGACTACTGTTATAGTCCCTTACAAAGGTTACTTAAAAATTAGTTGTAATTGGTGCCGCTCAGTGATGTTATCATTCTTTATTGGTACAGGTAATCGCACTACTTCGAGTGACATTTGGTATAAATAACCCAGTTTTTTTAATTTTTAATTTTTTAAACCATATTAATTGCACGTGCCCGTAGGGCGTGTGCAATTCGTTGTCTTTTTAAAAATTACGAGTGTTTACTCATTTCAGTTTGCCTAAGAAAAGTCATGTCACTTCTAATTCATTTTAAAATGATCTAATTTTCGACATAGCTTCACTGATAATGCACAAACAAACAACAGGTAGAGCACGTACAAAAAGATTCATTCAAACCTTGCAAACATCATTGTGTGTTAGGTCAAATCAACGTGTTACGTCAAAGGAGAAAATTTTCGACATGCCTTTTTTTTAAAGCTATTAAACAGTTCGTTACTGTTTTTTCACTGAGTTAACAACGTTCTGCACTGTATTAGCTCTCTTCTGCTTTGGTGTTACATGAAAACTGTATTGCAACCAATCAGAATGCAGAAATTTCTTCATGTATTCTATTAACAGGTTTCCTTTAAAAATAAGATATTCTTAACACCGATCGCGTTAAAAGTAAAAGCTATGAACTATAATATGATATAGTATTTAAAAACTAAATCTGCTATGCAAAATGCACTGGCTGAACTTCTGAATTCATACTTCATATTTTCAAACGTTACAAAACATTCAACCCTCGATTTTAGCTTGACACAAATGTTATCGGAAGGCAATTTCAGCTGAGACAAACTTGTTCAACGAAATGCAATTTACGTTCATATTTCCAACTTTTGCATAAAACTACACAGCCGTTATATTACATTTTATGTAATAATAATAATAAAATGTTATATGGTAAAAAATAACCTATTTAATTGTGAAAAATATACAAAATCACATTAATTTTAAAACGTCTTAAATAAAAAAATAAAGAGGCCGGTAACATTGCAGAAACATTCCTTCTGTCATTGAAATTAATACGTTGCAACCTAAGAGACAAAACCAATGAGTATTTAAGGAAGAGAAATGAGGATTCCTACGACAATTGAACAAGAACACGCTGCAATAAGAGACTGCATATCTTGGTACATATCGTCTCATGCCAAATGCAGCCCAGCACTAACACCGCAACATACGATTCATTCGGATCATTCATATATTTTAAACTTATGGCTGTGCTCTGTCCAAATGCCACCGACTTTTGTCTTCGGGTGACTTGTATAACTTTTATCTCATGAAAACTCTCAAAAGCTGGATAAGCAAATTCTGCGAATAAGGCCTGTATGCATACAGTGTTGAAATCAACTAGCTTCAAAGAACTAAATCATTACACTCAGCCAACGTGCCACAGGAGGCCCAGGCTCAAGTTCAACTTTAACAACATAAGCTATTCTGTACCGAAACCGTTAAACAGCTCACAAGTTGTACAGATTATAAGTTGGTCTAGTTGGTAAAATATCAAATAACACACAGCCTGTTAAAAACCTTCATTTGCAGCAATAGATAACTTAGTAAAAAGAACGGCTTTGAAGTTGACGGAACTAACAAACCAGTGAGTTACATTTTGACATTGAAGAATTAAGCAAACATAAAATA